CTGTCCAAGTATACCACATCCACCGCCACCCCTCTGTCCAAGTATACCACGTCCACCGCCACCCCTCTGTCCAAGTATACCACGTCCACCGCCACCCCTCTGTCCAAGTATACCACGTCCACCGCCACCCCTCTGTCCAAGTATACCACGTCCACCGCCACCCCTCTGTCCAAGTATACCACGTCCACCGCCACCCCCCTGTCCAAGTATACCACGTCCACGCGCCACCCCTCTGTCCAAGTATACCACGTCCACCGCCACCTCTCTGTCCAAGTATACCACGTCCACCGCCACCCCTCTGTCCAAGTATACCACGTCCACCTCCACCTCTCTGTCTAAGTATACCACGTCCACCGCCGCCCCTCTGTCTAAGTATACCACGTCCACCACCACCCCTCTGTCCAAGTATAACACGTCCACCGCCACCCTTCTGTCTAAATATACCACGTCCACCACCACCCCTCTGTCCAAGTATACCACGTCCACCGCCACCCCTCTGTCCATTGTTTTGCTCACCTCCTCATAAAAAGAAATCAGATTTGTTTGACAAATTCTGTCTTTCATGAATCTATGCTGTGTATTGCTTTAAAATATTTTTTTCCAGCAAGAGCTCATCTATGTGGCCTTTAATTAAACACTCCAGTATCTTCAACTATAGAATTTAAACAAACAGTTCTATAATTACTTGGTAAAGCCTTTGACCCTTTTTAAATCTAGGCACCACATTGGCCTTACGCCAATCCAATGGTACTATGTCAGTTATTAAAGAGTCCCTAGAAACTAGAAACAATGGCTTTGAAATGACAGAGCTCAGTTTTAGGACCCGTGGGTGTATGCCATCTGGTTCAGGTGCTTTATTCACCTCTATTCTGTCTAAATAATTCTGGATCATAGCAATTTTGAGAACATTCTCTAGCTAGAATGAACCCAGAAGTGACATGTAAAACATCACCCCCACTTTCCAGTGACACTTTCTGACTTTATGTCCCCTATTTGATATACAGTAAATAAAGTTTTAGTGAAACTAAAAAAATTGAAAAAATAAAGTTACACCCAAGGACTTACTAAACCCCCCCCCCCCCCCCAAGGACTATGTATGAAAACATGTTACATAATGCTGCCATGCTGGAATGAGAACAACAGTTCTGGGCCCATTATTCATGGTTAACTCACTGTTGACTTGTAGGGTCTTTCCAATGGAAAATGTAGGCTAGCAAAGTTAATTGTTGTTTTGTGGAAGCGTGCAATTTAAAACTTGATATATTGGGTATCTATTCACTTGGCGCAACTTCATCATTTTGGCAATTGAGTAATATATTATGTTTTGTACCCTAAAATTGACGTAAATGTAATTTATACAAAAAATTTTGCTTTTGATAAACCATTCTGTCAATATCGCATGACATAAAAATGGGAACTACCATTAGGGTCTCTCTCAAGGGTCTCTGCTTTCAGAATTATAATGTTTGTGTTTCTTACCTAATCTTCAGGACTAAAATTTTTTTTTTAAATATGTGCGCAAAACCCGCAAAAACATCTCCGGCAGCGAAAGGGTTAAGTACAAATAAATAAAACCCCTTGCAGTGTGACAGTTACTATGCTGCCCAAGACTGTTGCTGAATATTGCTTATAGTACTTCTTTACTTTCCCATCAAAACAACAATAAAGCAGCCACTTGGTCTCCTCCTCAATATACATCTATAGAGAGGTCATTGGCCCTCAGGAAGAGCTACTACAGGTGTTATTACAGGAGACAAGATAAGAAAGTTAAAAGCTAATGGCTGTTTAGGTGCTGACAGCTTGATAAACCTTTCCCTTTATAGTGTTGTGTCAAAAGCAAGCAGCCCTATCCCCAAAGCTGACTTATAGAGCCATAAAACACACAACTTCTACAGCAGCAAAATTGCAAGGAAGGTGGAACTACACTATATTATTATTATTATTATACAGGATTTATATAGCGCCAACAGTTTGCGCATTTCTTTACAATATAAGGGAGACAGTACAATTACAATCCATTTCATTACAGATGGAATAGGAGGGCCTATTCCTTTAACCTATCTGGCTAAAGCTATGTGAACACTCCAAATTATTTAGGTCAGGTGCTGTTAATGGTACAACATACAAACAAATTGTACACCATTTTGCACTCCCAACCTTGTGGTATCAGTTTTCTGTTCCAGGATGACTGCACCTTGTTCACAAAGCCAGCTTGAAAAAGACATGGTTTGCTGGATTTGGTGTGGAGGATCTTGAATGCCCTGACCTCAACCCTACCGATCACCTTTGAGATGAATTGGAACGTCGGTTGAGAGCCGGGTCCACTCTTCCAAGATCAGTACCTAACCTCACAAATGCTCTTTTGGCAGGAAGGAACTTGACTAGGGAGTAAAAAATGAAGATTTTGGCTCCCATACTTCCTGGTCACCCCATTCACCAAACCATACCACCAAAAAAACCCACACCAAAACAAGTGGGAATTTTAATGGCCACAGCAGCAACTTTATTACCAAAATATAAACAACCAATGTACATAACAAATAACTAACAACAAAATTATTGTAAACAAGAGTCTCAAGGACCTTGTAGGCAAGTAAACGTATACCTGTTACCTGTAAAGTAGGACTGCAGCTGCACCCCACTGATTCAAAAACAGAGTCAGGTACTCAGGAACCAGGGCTGCTGTTGCAAACCATGAGAACAATACGGCCAGTTTGACATGGCCCCTTCATAAAGAAAAAAAAAAACACAGTTCACTATGCTTCAGTTATGAATGAACACAGTGAGTGATTGTTACCAATCACTCACTGTGTTCATTCAGAAAGGAAGGGCTGGTAAATGTGACATACTTACCGGACCCTTCCCCCATTCTCCATCCTGAAGCATCCTGTTGTGTGCTTGCAGATGCCAGTGGGAAGAAGAGGAGAGGATGGAAACAGCACTGTGGGGTGCACAGGTGGTCTTGGGCAGCAGGGGGAAATGTATGGTACATAGGGAGGGTGATGGGGGCGGTGGGGGCAATTACTGGAACCGATCATCTCTATGGCTTTTTCTGTAGTAGCAATTTCACTACTGCCTACTTTCTAGGGCCTTGAAACCTGCCGTCTGCTATGATAAACACCTCCACCCACAAAACTACACCACCCGTAACAAAAATAAAAAAATACAGGGAAGGGAGAGAGGGAAGCTTCCCTGGCTTCTGCTGTCCTCCACCTAAACTGTTCTGGGACCGTCCTGCCTACAACCCTCTGCAAACTCTATCTGTTCCTGTCAGGCTTTAGCAATCAGGTCAGTACCCCCCCCCACCTCCCTGCATCCTTTAAATTTATTAAAACTCCTCCCGTGTCCACACTCCCCCTTTAACCCAGTCATGCCATCCCTCCGTCTATATCTTCTGGTCTTTTCCTCTTGGCTTTGCTCATTCTAACTATTGTGGAGACTGTTATGGGTGGAAAACGTTAGGACGACTCCATATTGATGTGATGGTCAGATGTCCATACACTTCATATAGTAGCAGATAAAGTGGTTCAACATCTTGATCTTCCTGCAGTATAGTGGCCTGGCTACACTAATATTTACCAGTTGCAAGTTTCCAATAACACACATTTCAACACTTACACAAAAATTAAGTCCTTAAGTGCAGTAGAGCGCCGGGAGGCTTTATTTAGATGACACACATTACACCAGCAAGAAGCACACTTGTGGATTTCTATCTCTGTACATGCATTAAATACAAAGCCTGGCAAAGCTGGAGTGCCAATGATCAGCAGACAGAGAATGGAATCTGTGGCTTTGAGCATAAATCTGTAGCCAGATGCTGGGCCACAGCAATATGGAGACAGAGACATTACCTTTAATGCTGGCCCATAGACTTCTCTGCAGAGTGCTAAGAATCCTGGCAGTTGTATTTTAAGCTAGCAGCCATAGAATGGGACCAGAGTACACTACAGATCCCAATAGGTACTGTACAGTAGGAGGAAGGGAGAGATGATTTTTAGTAAACTGCCCATGAAAGTTCTTCCTCTTGGCACCAGGGCCAGATCTAGCCTGTCCGATGTGAGGGTGCAGTAAAAAATGTCAGGGGGGCAGATAATCAGAGGTCAGGGGAACAGAGGACAGGGGTCACTGCTGGCAGGGCAGAGGACAGGGGTCACTGCTGGCAGAGCAGAGGACAGGGGTTACTGATGGCATGGCAGAGGACAGGGGTTACTGATGGCATGGCAGAGGACAGGGGTTACTGATGGCATGGCAGAGGACAGGGGTTACTGATGGCATGGCAGAGGACAGGGGTTACTGATGGCATGGCAGAGGACAGGGGTTACTGCTGGCAGGGCAGAGGACAGGGGTTACTGCTGGCAGGGCAGAGGACAGAGGTCACTGATGGCATGGCAGAGGACAGGAGTCACTGATGGCATGGCAGAGGACAGGGTTACTGCTGGCAGGGCAGAGGACAGAGGTCACTGATGGCATGGCAGAGGACAGGAGTCACTGATGGCATGGCAGAGGACAGGGGTTACTGCTGGCAGGGCAGAGGACAGAGGTCACTGATGGCATGGCAGAGGACAGGGGTCACTGATGGCATGGCAGAGGACAGGGGTTACTGCTGGCAGGGCAGAGGACAGAGGTCACTGATGGCATGGCAGAGGACAGGGGTCACTGATGGCAGGGCAGAGGACAGGGGTTACTGCTGGCAGGGCAGAGGACAGAGGTCACTGATGGCATGGCAGAGGACAGGGGTCACTGATGGCATGGCAGAGGACAGGGGTTACTGATGGCATGGCAGATGACAGGGGTTACTGATTGCAGGGCAGAGGACAGGGGTTACTGATTGCAGGGCAGAGGACAGGGGTCTCTGCTGGCAGGGCAGAGGACAGGGGTTACTGCTGGCAGGGCAGAGGACAGGGGTCACTGATGGCATGGCAGAGGACAGGGGTCACTGATGGCAGGGCAGAGGACAGGGGTTACTGCTGGCAGGGCAGAGGACAGGGGTCACTGATGGCATGGCAGAGGACAGACTTATTCACTCCCTTGTTATCTCTCGCCTTGACTATTGCAACTCCCTCCTCATTGGCCTACCTCATTGCAGGCTATCCCCTCTTCAGTCTATCTTGAATGCTGCTGCCAGACTCATCCACCTTACTAACCATTCTGTATCTGCCCTCTCTGCCAATCCCTCCACTGGCTTCCTATTGCCCAATGGATAACATTCAAAACACTAACAATAACGTATAAACCATTTATAACTCCGCCCCAAATTACATTGTCTCTATCACCCAAACCGTACTCTCCACTCCTCGCAAGACCTCCTGCTCTCTAGCTCCCTTGTCTCCTCCTCCCATGCTCGTCTACAGGACTTCTCCAGAGCTTCCCCCATCCTCTGGAACTCTCTTCCCCAATTTATCAGACTATTGCCTACTCTGCTC